TAGATGGGTTACTTTGTGTTATAGAGCGCCAATACATGAACACGAGCAGACGACGACTTTGCCAACCGCCATTATCCAAGCGTGGATGGTGACATGCATTGACAAATGTGAACGGAAACGCGGCACAACCCGCAGGCAAAACCCAAGGGTCCGGCACAGCCTTAGCAAAAGCTTAAGCCGTCATAAGCCCCCCTCGATCATCCACCATCAGTCATCATCAATTGCACAGCAAAACATAACCATCAATATATGATATTCAGCTCAGCCCCCCTTGACGACAGCCGCGAAAACAAATCACCAATCACAACCTGGATACGAAAGATCGTCCCTGCAGGTTCGAAGCCCTGCCTTGCTTTCTGTGCCCCATCACCCCCAGGCTACCACTCCATGCTGAGATCACTGTTCAGCTGGGGGTTTTATTGTTCAATATTCCCTTTCTGCATTCGTATCCTTCTTTGCAATTATCAGCTTGGCAGCTGGGCAAGCGTTCATTACGGAGTATAGATCAGTGACACAGGCAGCAGAATAAGAGATCCATGCTTCAACGGTAATAAGAAGGAGACCAGGGGCGGAGAGTCCAAGAGGACCAAGACTCCAGAGTAGGATCAACCGGGGGATGCTGTGTTGGTTCTAGGCTCCAGCTCTAGGTTCACACGGCAGCGCTAGGGGACTTTTTCTTTCTGATATTCATTTGCCATTTACGTGTAAAATCCCTGACGTCTCTTTGTTGAAACTCCATCGGCCCATCGGGAACCCGTTGAAATTGACATACTCCATCTTCCATACTGCGTAATGTACCTAGACGAACGAAAACCCTTGAGTAAGCTAAGCGATAGCGAAGTTTCCTCCCCCACCGGATAGTTAACGGTGGGCCGGCCGTGGCTGATGTCCGAACCCGAAAAAGATGCAGCAATAAATTAACATTGCTCGTGACGGGTACGATTGAACCGGGGTTTTGGGAAGTGGTCCAAGGGGTTGGAGGGGCGCAAAGAAGGATCTCCAGGCTGCACACACACACACACACGAGCAGTGACAGCGCAGCTGCACAGCTTAAACCCCAAGCACCCAAGCACCAGCATCATCAGAAGCTAAGCCGAGAAGAGTAGAGGGCGCTGCGGCTGTGTGAGTGTGTGTCCAAGGTGAATCTGTAAGGCTAAAAAATAAACCTTGGCTCTTTCTTCCCAACCATCCTTCGTTCTTCCTTTTCTCACTTTCTTCCACTTACTTACTCGATCCTTCAAATCCAGCACTCGAGCGTCTCCGGGAAAGAAAGCAAGGGAAAAGGAGAACCAGTGGCAGGAGGGAAACTCAGGAGGGGGAAGCAACAGCATCATCGAAACCTTTGTCTTCATGAGATTGCAGAAGCAGCAGCGCCGGCCAAGTCCAGACGCGACAATGGGCACCGGCCAAGGGAAACGACCTCCCCCGAACCAGCAACAACAGCAAGAGCAACAGCGGGCGCACTCACCTTACCCGCCGCAGCAGCGATACTACGCCCAACAACCACAAACTCAATATCAACAACAATTCCAACCGTACCAACCGCCGCAGCAACAGCAATACTACAACCCTCCCAGACAGCCTCAATACGCCTCCAGGCCGACTTCTCCAAACCCGCCTCAGCGCAAGCAGACCCCTCAGCAGCAACATCAGCAGCGGTACCCCGCCCAGCAGCAATTCCTCGCCGAGCTAGAAGTCCCAGCCTCTGTCCCGAGACCGACCTCACCATCGACGTCATTGCTCAACGCTACCACATCCGCACCGGTGCCGAGTGCAGGAACAGCTCAACATGGCCCCGTTGCCTACGAGATGCCCGCCGACGACATAGTCACGGTCAAGCCTACAAACCAGATCCATAGGAAACCTCATAGGATAGCCTCTGCCTCCTCCGTTACCGCACCATCACCATCAACATCGCCGCCTCCAGCATCCCCTACCACGGCCACAGCTATACTTAAACAAGACGACCCGGATCAATCAAAGGACGAAGAGAAGGCCCAGCCGCCGCCGCCACAGCCACCTCTCATCCAGGCAAACCCATGGGGGTTCTTTCTTGAGGATGACCTCCCCTCTCGCAACAGTGACTCCCCCTCACCGAGCAAAGATGACGTCTCATCGGTCCCACCGGAGGAACAGAAGCTATCGGTGAAGCCGTTACGCATCGTCAAGAGCGGTTCTACCGAGGAGTCTAGTGGTCAAGGGAGGCGACCCTCGAATAGTACCGTAGATGATGTGACGCCCAAGCCCTTACAGATTGCAGCAGCAGGGCCGGCAAGGCAGGATAGCCCTGATACGGCCCAGCTCAAACCGGCACCACTCAAGCTCGCGCGGCCGCCGCCCCCGGCTGCAGAACGTCGTCCCTCCCGGACCCCAAGCCCGGCCAACCCCGCAGCTCCGGCCGCCAGTGTACCGCAGCTTCCGTACCCCGCCGAAGGTCCGTCTATTCTCACGCCGGACTCGCACCCTCAGCACCAGCCAGGAACACAAACCGGGGCCCCGCCGACGCTTCCCTTTGGCATTCGTCCCGCTGGCTCCCCGCCACCGGTATCCCCTTCCTTCGCGCCCTCGCGACTCTCACCAGCCCCAACGGGCGCCTCAGTACTACCGCAACAGCCGCAACAGCCGCAGCAGTCTCAACCCCATCCTCAACCAACTCACACTCAAGCCGCCCCCGTGTCTCCCGTCTTCGTTCAGGCTGCTCTACCGCCAACTCTCCCCGTGAGCTCCTACTTCCCTCAGCAGCCCTCATACGCCAAGCAAGAAGCCACCTCGCCCAATCTTTCGGTCCATAGCCCAGTAGCCTCGGCACCGAGACCATCAACATCACAGGGAATCCCCCAGGCTTCTCAGCACTCACCGGCCCAACCCTACGCCTCTCCTCCACCTTCATATACCCAGGCAATGTCTCAAATGAACCTGTCGAACACTTCACCATCGCCCACACAGACACAATGGCTCCCTCCACCGCCACCTCCCCAAGGCCTATCACCGAACCCAACCGGTGTACCACTACCCCTGAGCCCACCGCCGACGCAGTATCCTTGGTCTCCAAATAGTGTTGGCCCCCAATCTGCTCCCCTCCAACAGCAGTTCACGGGCTACAACATGCCGCCCCCTATCCCCCAGCCGACCTACGTCAACGGTAGCCAACAGTTCCAACCGCAGCCGACGCAGACACCGCCGCCACTCCCGCCTCGCAACTCCCCGCCCATGCCGGGTACACCGCAGTCGGGCTTTGGCGCCCTCACGCCCTATGCTGGACCTCCTCCCCCGACCAGGCCAAACTACCAGGCCCCGCCGCCGAAATCCGAATCGCGCCTCTTCAGCAGTGCCACGGCACGGAAGCTTCTCACCAAGACGACCGAGCTCGTAGACCAGACCATCACGCCCTACCTTCAGGACAACAAATACTACCGGCCGCCTTACAACTGGTATCAGAACCAGAACCCTCAGAATCAAAATCAGAACCTTCACAATCAGACCCAGAACTACCAGAACCAAAACCAGAATAATCAGTATCCGAACCGACCGCAGACGGCAACGGGATACCCGGCGCAGCAGCAGCAGTACTACACACAGCAGCAGAGCTATGCTCCCTCTCAGCGTGTGTAACCTGCCTGGGGTGTTTCTTTGTTGGCTACGAGACTAACAAGTGTGTAGCAACGTACGCGCATTCTCAATCATCGCAACAGAGCCAAGGGGTCACTCGTCCATCTTGAAAGTTCTGAGGGGTCTTGTGAGAAGAATGTAGCTGGCTAGGGCGATGAGCTGTCCAACGTGCGGACTCCGTGTGAACATATGTGAACACATGCGAACATGGGATATGCGGCATTCACTGCCACCAAGCTGCTAGAACAACCATGTTCATCCCGAACAACCATGATGGAAAACAACACAGTCAACACAATGTCTCGATGATGCAACATATCTCGTAGACATTTCTGTTAATTCGACGGGAGAATAAGCGACGCTTCGCTGAAGACAAGTTGTTCATAGACATGAGGCGTCGATGAAGTTGTAGCCGCCGGGTGCTTCTTAGTGTTAAGACACACAAACTCTACCCCGGTGGCGCGGGGCCGTTGGACCGAGCGAGACGCGCGCCTGCGTGAAGTGACGTCGAACTCACCAGGATGGGATGCTCAGTGGAAGCCACGCACGCGACTCAGGATCTGACGCGACAGGTTGCGTCCAAAGCGAATATCGTTTTGGGTTTTGGCCTGGCGGTGGGCGGCCGAGGAAATGCAAATCTGATGTATCACTGAACCAACCCTTTGCATCTGCTGGGATCCATTCAGTGCGACGTAGGCGATGGCTGTCCCCATTTGCCTCGGGGGAAACCGAACTGGATATAGAAACTATAATATCTACAACCATCAGAATACCATCTTTGGTGATACAATCATGTAATAGACCAGCGCAGACGAACAGGAATCGGGAGGCCCATCAGGAGGATTGATGCTCAAGACCCTGACATGATGTCATCGACAACAAACCCAAGATCATTGCGGAATGACATAACCCCTTCTTATCAGCGATAGCATCTTAAACTTTCGTGCCTTGCTTGTAAGTCGCGCCGAGTTCACGCGGTACCCAAGACGCAGGGTCCATGGGGAAGGTAGGGCCATCCCAGGCAGAGGCCGAGGTCCTACGGAAGTCAAGGAAGCCTCAGAAAAAAAAAGACTCAAGTTCGACGTTGGAATCGGGGTGGGTATGGCTCTCCCTCTCTATAAGGTGAACGCCGAGCACCTTATGCCAAGGCTATAATCCCTCATCAAGTCGTTGCCCGACAGAAATGAGGGCAAAAATGAAAACTCTCTTTTCCTTCCTGTGCACCGCATGCCGCAAAGTTCATCTCAAGTTCCGAGGGTGCGGATATGATCCGTGTAAGGTGGGCTCGACCCGAGTCAGTATCGTAGGAGTCTCCGGCAGATGATCTGGCAAATGAATAACTTCATTTTTTCCCCTTCCCTACGCCCAGAAAGTCATCTGACAAATGTCACATGTGCGGAGATGGGGATAATGTCTGCGTCAAGGAACGAAACAAGCGTCCCGAGGTTATCGCTGAGCCGACAGTAAGTATCCGGCTGTTGAGCAAAGCCAGGGTGCCGGCGATAGCAAAAGGCAACCTCGGCGTTGAAAAGGCACACTTGGCCGGCCCAAACCGGGCCAGGACCCCCGGCGGTGCTCACGCTGTCCCCATCTTCCCGGTGATCCGGAAGTGTGTGCAGAGGCGTTCATGGCTTTATGTTGCGGCCCGGAGCTTGGGGGGAAATGGTCTGACGGCGTTTCGAGGCCCATTCATCGGACATGGGATGTGGCTGGACCACACTGTGGTAGACACCGGAATTCCAAAGGCAGCTTCAGGAGGCCGCTTCAGCGCTTGTCTTTGTTCAGAGTGCCGCCGTGAGTGGTTCGCGCGTCAACCGCCTCAGTACCCATGCGTTTCGGTGATGGCTTGTATTCCTTTACTCCATTTTCGCGAATCAATCTTCCGACTTAGCCTGCCTTACCATGTTAGACAGGAGCCATCCTGTCACCAAGCTCCGTGACATGCAGCCGCCGAGATCTTGTGACCATAGGGTTCAAGTCGAATGGGTGGAAGCAGGCAAGATCAGGCAACTCGCAGATGCTCGGTGAGGACAGCGCCAAGCGCCTCTCAAAGCCATTCGAACCAAGGGGCGGGCAGACCAGACGATCGAATGGCGGTGATGTGACGGAGGGCCCATTGATGCCGTCCAAGCTGCAGGTGGATTGGCCGATGCGGGAAACCCGAAAGTGATCGGCACTGGCCAGAAGCTCATCGGCCTTCATTCTTGAAGGGCGTTCTTCCACAGTAAGCTCTCGATTGCTTGGCTCTGCGGGGGTCTTGGAAGCACCGGCAACAGTATGCTCATGGTTGGTCAAGTAATATGCAAATACGCAACAGCCTCTTAGCCTCGACAACTCATATTCAAACCGTTTTGATCAGACCTTTATGATTCTGAATGGCGGTTGACTGGTAACGGGTGCCGATCCATGCCTCAAACCCATGCTGAACAATGGAACTGACATGCCAAACACTAGTAGGCTCTGTTCTTGCAGAATCCAGTTGTTTTGTCGTTTGGCTGGCGTCGAACCCCGGAATTAGAAGCTCTGCTGACGTTGGAATCCGAATGACAGCTTCTCTGAAGACGTAAAACATTGGTCTTTCGGCCGGGACCAGTCTAGATTTCGTAAGCCTGGGCATCTCCGTCGTCCCAACTAGCCAAAGGACAAAGCGAAGGGAACGCCCGTTGGCTTGTGGAGGAACGAGTGACATTCCTGAGCTGACACTACGGAGACGGCGTGATGGACCGTCTCCTGTTTCGAGACGTACGTGCGGCCCAATGTATCGAAATGTAGCCAGGGCGCACCATAGCGCCGCTAACGGCGGTGAGCTTCCAGAATTCTATCCACCATTTGCCGCTTCTCGAACGTCTCTAATTTAGGACGTCGATATGCAAGTCACTGGAGCTGCCTTCCGGGGTTTGAGGCACGCTTACTCACAACTGACAGCCGATAAGATATGGAGACTCGGAAGAGGCATTTAAATGCCTTTCCGCGGCCTCCCAATTTTGTTAATGCCGATTGCAGCATTGCACCCATTCAAGACCAACAAAGCGCTGGTGTTGTTACGACCCCAAGACCGTGACTCAGTTACAAGTGGTGGTGAATGACAAGTGGCCATCAAAGAATCATGCTGGCAGAGGGCGGCTCTAAACGTTGCCGAATGGCCATGGCATCTCTGTGAGCATCCATCATGGGATAAGTCATCCTGAACTGTGCACTCCATGCGTAGTTTCCGACAATTGGCAAGCACTCGCGGGGCAGTACCGTCGGGAGGCAGGGAGTGTAGGGTCGGGGATACAGCCCAATTGCTCGGAGAGAGAGCCAACTAGAACTGGGGATCGCTGTCCAAAGGTTGGTGCCCAACTCGGACACAGTTGGCTGAATAGCGGACGGTTCGGACGTCTGAGTCGCGAGCTTCGGCCACGCTGAGGGTAAAATCCAGGTTTTGGCTGCCACACTGGGCCCTCAAAAAAATCTTGATCAGGCCCTGAAATGCTATTTTGTTTGCTCAATTTGCTCTGCAATCAAGATTTTTCAAGTCTGACTTGCTCCTTATTCGGGGCAGACCGAAAGACCTGGAACAAGAGTGACGTGGGCGACGTCGAATAGCTTCCATGGCGTTTGGCCCCATCTAACGCCACAGAGCGCTCCTCTAGCGCACGGCGCATCTGAAAGGCGGCACCGCCAGAGATGAGATGCTGCTCACGATACGATGGGCGGTTGCATTGCAGGTCATTCATTCTCTTTTGTGCATCGTAGGCGAGGGGTGGAGGGACCGAGGAGAGCTTCCCTTGTAACTGCCTCTTGCGGGAGATCCTTTGCTGTTTTAAGGGGAGATGGCCAAGGGGGCCTTTCGGTATCGGAACTTGATATCTCGGATGTCAGCAGCGACACCCGAGAGGCTGTTGTTGCATGACGAAGGAGGTGGTACTGTGCTGACTCTCGTACCTATGCCTCCGAGCCCGATGATTTTGCCATCCAAAGGTGCTTGCTTGCTTCTGAGGTATGGCCATTTTCACCTATGCATTATGATATCGAATTGAGGCTGGAGGGGTTAGCCCCTGTAGGATACTGAAAATAGGCATCTCGATCTTGCAGCATTGGTGCCCTCGACCGTCCGATTTATGACTGGTCTCCTGACCGACAGTCTGGAGTTATTTTTCCTGGTGGGCTCGAGCGTCGTGGTCTCGTTGCGGGGGAGAGGACTAAGAGCGGTGAGGCTCTCGCCGGTTGGTGATTAGCGCATCCTACTCTGGCGGGAGCAGTGTCACCTGAGGGATTAGTAGCGGTTACTGGTAAATGCGGCAATGTAGAATTAGGAGGTTGTGATATTGGTCCAGGACTTATATGCCGGCTACCGTTGAAATTGGCATGACAAAGGCCTTTGAGTTGCAGATTGGTGAAATCCAGATTGATGCTGACACGCAAATGGCAAGACGAGTCGACTCAATCGAGGAGAAATCTGACAAGGTTCACTTGTAAGGGCGCACGCCCGATGTCTCTACTCCGTACCTTAGCTCGTTGCGGTCCGTCGTGGGAAGCTGAAAGCATCGCTTCAGGGGGGATGTTCCGGCAAGGATCCTGAAGATGTGGTGGTTCGCGCCCTGCGTGTATCCGTAGCCGTAGCCCGGCGACAGATGGGTCTTGGTTGGCTGCAGGTGATATTTTGCGTCGGTGCTGATTGCAGTTTGGTATGTTATCTCAAAGGAAGCCGCCTGGTTACATGGTGCATCTGGGGATTATTGCGATGACGAAAGCCCTGCCTAACTTGGGAATGCTGAAGAAGAACCGGTGCCAGACATGTCCTACAGCTCTGAAAGCTGTTCCGCGGCAGACTCTCCATAGCAAAGAGCGTTGAGGTCGGAGATCGGCAGGTTTCCTTTCAAGAAAAATTCACAGAGTATCTGTACGGTGGGTTGAGTGGTCGGTTCAGGGTCCTTGCCGCCGTCATGGTGTCGCCCCTCTCGCATCATTCCGTGTCATTGAGAGGGCCCCCATTGAGAATTTGGGCGTGTTCAATTCGCGTTCGTTCCGTACGAAGTTCGGAAGTACAGAGTAGGGTCAGTACCCAGACTGCTGCAAGCCTGCAAGCTCGTCTTCCGAAAGTAGTGATTCTAGACAGGGTTCTTGGGTGTTGGAGAGAAGGGTTGGGGGCGGCGGTAGCGGTTTTCAGGCTTCGAAATTTCCCCCTTTGGAGCGGTGGAACGTTGGGCGGGTGGACCGTGGGACTCCATGTCGGGCTGGCGAGGGGCCTACATGTCTCGACCAGGTATTTCCCCGTCGTTGTCCAGTGACCCCGGCGGAGAGAGGTTCATTGCATTGAATTGCATGGCCAATGCGGTGTTCCAATTTCAAGATGGGCTCAAGATGAGGATGAGCTGGTGCTTGGCCAGACCACAGATCAGCCTATGCGTACGGTACTCGGGGCTCGGTTGACCGGTTAGGATGTGACGAGTGTCGCAATTGTAGTGGTTGAGCCGCGGCGGCTGTGTTTGGTCTATGTAGCTTGGTGTCGGTATGCCGGTATGCCTTGGTAAAGAGGATTTGGGTAAAGCTGTGCCTTTGTGATGTCGTACTTGGCTCGCTTTCTGTGCCGGTATTTCTTTATCTGGGGTGACGTGAGAGGTGAGGTGATGTGAGCTGAAGCGACCAGGGCATGGCATCTGCGACAAGCGCGGAAGTACGGGAGCTCAGGATGCTGGCCGCTGGCGGGCTGAGGCCACAGACCAGTTTGGTTACTGGAGCCGGCATACGAATCTTGAGGCAAAGAGATGCTTCATGAGGCGGTGTCAAGCCAGGTGGACAGCTCGATTGTTGAATTTGATGAATGGTTGAATAGACAACACGGATAGTCCAAGTTGGAGCTGACGTTCTTGATGATGACAGGGTACTCCGTAGTATGGTCAGAATACCGGTAGAGACTTGCCAGGTTGAGGACGGGTGGACGGCCGGACGGGTAACTACGAACCAGCAAGTTGGCACCGAAAAAGAAGGCTTGCTGTGTCGGGTTGCTGCCCGTATCGTCCAGCATAATTAATGGAAGATGCCTTATGTAACGCCGTGTGGGAGAGGGGATGGAAGGCCACCCGAACGCAGGTAGAAGGCAGGTATTCGGACCTTGGGCTGGAGGGAACGAGCACGGAGAGGGTACGTGCGGCTCTCGGCAGAATTGGCGTGCAAGGGTATGTACCTGCCACCGGATTTTCGACAATGGGGGTACTTACCTAGATTCTCAGGCTCAGCATCTAAGGTACCCAACATAGGTACCTACCGTAAGTAAGGTAGGTAGGTAAGGTACCTTTGGAAGGCACCTACCTGCGCAACTGCGGCCCACAGAGTAAGGTAGGTACCACGGATACCTCGTCTCCTTCGTGCCTTCTTCCTTGGTTCTATTTCCCCCGTCCAGTCTCCGTGTCCCATTTAGCACCCAGCGCCTGTCCGCCCCAGTGAGGTGGTCCGCCGCCCGCTGCCCGCCGCCAGCCCTCCTTCGCCCTTCGCGTGTCGCCCAGTCCTTGAGAAGATGAGAAGTACCTAAAGTACTCCGTAAGATAGGTAAGAGCGCCTGAGGGAAGGAAGGTGGTGCTTTTCTCCATTTTGCCTTGTCGCCTCCACTTTTGGGCTCCCATCCCATTAAGGTACCCTCTTCCCATCCTCTCTCACCCTCCTCCTTCCTGCCTTACTCTTCCTTTCTTCACCCCACGATCTCTTTCACGAGCCCTTGATTGCCAAAGGCTTCTTGCCCGAACAGCACATCGTCTCTGTCCCCTTCACTTTGGACACGGCTTCGTTGGCATTTGAGGATAAGGTACGCATCCATTTTCCATTCCCAACAGCATCAGCATCAATTACAAATTACCCCCTCCCGGCCCCTATCAATCCATCCGCCCCCCCCTCTACTCATCTTGACTTTCAAGAGCCCATACTGACCCCGTTCACCTCTTTCGTCACATAGGTACCATCAAACCATCTCACACACACACGACTCCTTCCACCTCTCCCGACAACACATACGTACAAACCCTCTACAGGTGAGCCTATTCTTCCTCTTTCGCTATATTCCCTCAATTTTCGACTACCTTGATCCTCAATCCGTCGACAATCGTTGCCTTGTCGGACTTCACCCCTCTCCCTCTCCCTCTGTCTGGGTTTCACTCTTCCTCTGTTTTGCCCAGCCTAGCCTCGGGCTGACCGTGGGTTTTGGCGGTGGATCCGAGCTTTGCCTCATTCAATCCTCTCTTCCAAGGCCTCGACCAACTCTATCCACTCTTCAACTTTCCCACTTATTCCTGTTCTCACAACGTCCTCACATACCTCCATCGCTCCAACGGCACAGTTCGAAGCCTTCTATTGTCTCATGCATCAATACTAATTCTGCGATTCTACCCAGCCCATCGCTTCGTTGTCGATTAAAACTCTGACCCGTCGATCGACACCCGACCTACCAACCAAAATCTGCATCCGAAAGGTGCAGAGTCAGCACATCAGTCAAGATGACCACAATGGTAAGTGGATAGTCGACGGTCGGTTCTATTCGACATTGGGCACAGTCTTGCCAGGAGCTATATATGCTCTTGTTGAAAGGGCCCAATCTGTCGATGGAGCCGCTTGCTTCCAACTGTCATTGCACATGGCTAACGACAATTGGCAGGATCTTCGTGTCGGTAACAAGTACCGCATCGGTCGCAAGATCGGTTCTGGTTCTTTCGGTGATATTTACCTCGGCACCAACATCATCTCCGGCGAGGAGATTGCCATCAAGCTCGAGAGCGTCAAGGCCAAGCACCCCCAGCTTGAGTATGAGGCCAGAGTCTACAAGTCCCTGGCCGGCGGTGTCGGTATTCCCTTTGTCCGTTGGTTCGGTACCGAGTGCGACTACAACGCCATGGTTCTTGACCTCCTCGGACCCAGTTTGGAGGATCTCTTCAACTTCTGCAACCGCAAATTTTCCCTCAAGACCGTGCTGCTTCTCGCTGATCAGCTGATTTCTCGCATCGAGTACATCCACGCCAAGTCTTTCATTCACCGTGATATCAAGCCCGACAACTTCCTCATGGGTATTGGTAAGCGTGGCAACCAGGTCAACGTTATCGACTTTGGTTTGGCCAAGAAGTACCGTGACCCCAAGACGCACTTCCACATCCCTTACAGAGAGAACAAGAACCTTACCGGAACCGCCCGTTATGCTTCCATCAACACCCACTTGGGTGTCGGTATGTTATCTTTCCACGCACCCAAACCCCTTTCCGTTTCCTCCTGGCCACTGACAGCTTCGCAGAGCAATCTCGCCGTGACGACATGGAGTCCCTGGGCTACGTCATGCTCTACTTCTGCCGTGGATCCCTTCCCTGGCAGGGACTTAAGGCCGCTACCAAGAAGCAGAAATACGACCGCATCATGGAGAAGAAGATGACCACCCCGACCGAGGTCCTTTGCCGCGGCTTCCCCAACGAATTCGCCATCTACCTCAACTACACCCGATCCCTCCGATTCGACGACAAGCCCGATTACAGCTACCTCCGCAAGATCTTCCGTGATCTCTTCGTCCGCGAGGGCTTCCAGTACGACTACGTCTTCGACTGGACTGTCTACAAGTACCAGAAGAATGCTCAGGCAATTGCTCAGGCTGCAGGAGCCACTCAGGAGGAGGATGAAAAGGCGCGGGCATCTCGCACGAACGCCGCTACTGCTGGTCAGCCGACCCCTCAGCCTGGCGCTAATAAGCCTAACGCCCTTCCCAGCTCGCGCCGCAAAGTGATTGAACGAGGATCTGGTGCTGGTGTAAACACCCCAGATACCAACCGTGCCGTCGGTGGAAGTGACAGGATGTAAGTTGATCGCCCAAGCAGCTCATCGACCACTGGCTGTTGAACCCGTTGCTGACAAACGCATGCTGACCTAGTGGACGATGATCTAGTTTGCGCTCGTCTACGAAGGGCGCAAGTCCAGCATATGGTTCAAGTTCCTTTCTGCCGAAGTGATCCTCGACGGCGGTAACCACATGCTCTCTGTCCAACACGTTGGAGTATGACCAGACCGGCTTACTGGCTTCATCCCTTCCGTGGCATGGCTCTCAGACATCACGATTGGTACGGGTTCTGCTCACCAGCAGGGTCTCTTTGATGATACGCCTTGCCACGCGAACTGGTCGCATTCTCCTTACGCATTCTCAACTTCGTTCTTCGACATATTTGGGTTGATTTCACGAATGACTCGATTCTTCATAACAGGACACTCGATTTCACAGACGCCCCGGTAGACCTTGCTGCCGAAGCTCTATGGTTCGATATCCATGGTAGGAAGAACTCGAACGGCACTTCCGGTACCTCAACTTTGCGAGGCACCGTCGTCGGGCCGCCCCGCGAGACATTCCCCCACCCCCAACTTGAGTGCCTCGGTTTAGCACCTTGCACCTGGTCGATGCGTTGGAGCTGCGTTCACCGACGGACTTTTCCTTTTTTCCTTCTGTTCTTTTCCTCTTACTTTTCCTTCCGATTATGCGCATTACGAGTTGATTTTCATTCGAGGCTTCGCACTTGGTCAATCACGCGTCGAGGCCCGCTTCTGGGGAGGTCGTTAGGTGAGGGGTCGATCACGAGAGAGAAACTTTTGCGAAGTATCAGGCCTGCCGACACTGTCTGACAAGGACTACGATCATTAAGTCGGCAAAGACAAGGAACGGCAAGGGAATGACGGTTGCAAAATTAATGAGGAAGAGTGCGGCATCTTTTCTTTGGCTTTTGGTTCGGTTCGGTTGGTTGGGAATTCGTTGCTCCGACATTGCCCGTGGGGGAAACTAGGAACTAGGTGACTAGTCGCCAAACCTGGTCTCTGGCAACTATTATGGGCTCTAGGAGACGGTCTAGCAAAGTTCTGGGATGTTGACAACGTCTACTTGTCTGCCTTGGCAGTCAACGCGGATTGTCGACCTCAGAACGCTGGTGCTTGGACTCTCAACACTGCGCCTCCATCATCCGCGGGCTTTCACCGGCCTGGCAAGTTTGCATATGGTGGAGGCAGAGCACGGGTAGTTGTAGGCATGTCGAAGGGCAGCGGAACCAACCAACATACGCATGGTAGTTTCTCAATTTAACATTGTCGCGCGACTTTTCTTCTCTTGCAATTTGTGAATATGGCGGTGTAAATGCTGCAGGTCCACTACAACAGCCACAGCACTAGTATTCTCTCGGGATACGATCTTGACTGTGATGCGTAAAGAGGCATACTCATCTGCATGATGTGACTGCGGAAAACTTGTAGACTTGGATGTGAGAAAGATATCAAGTCATGAGACTGGTTGGCTCAACGGGTCAGGTGCGGCTTCGCTTGGTTCCATTTCGCAGGGCACGTCGACCAGCTGACTGCATGAAACGAGAGAAGCAGTACCAAATGGATGTCGTCAGGTGCAAAGTATATCCGCATATATATAGGTATGTTCGAATCATCGCGGCATATTCTTATCGTACTCAGTAATGTCGTGCATCACGATGAAAGTTTCCCATCCTACACCAACATTTGCCATCTGCAAAGCTGAACTGGACTGACTCTCTTAGGTGAGTACATGACGAGTGTTGGAACGTCGAGGGGTGTCAGGGATGTTCCCCAACCTGAAGGATCCTTCATTCCCTCCCCTTAACTTCATAATCATCATCTTGTAGCTTGCACA